AATTATGTTGCACTAAAACAAACCGAAGATTGCAAAGAGTTATTTAAAAAATCCCTTGAACATCCTAGTATTTTACCTATGTATATTTAAATAATCTGTCATCCTCTTATCGAAGGATTGAACGTATCAATGATTAGCATTACACATAGTATAAATAAGTCAACCCTTAGTATGTCTTTGAATTTTATCCAAATGCTGAATTTTTGTTACAACCGCTGAATGTTTACAGCTGTTATGTTAAACAAATTTATTACACCAAAAGCTAGTTTAGAATCTTAGCGTCGGCTGCTAGACTTTTCAAAAATTAAAACTTAATTTCTAAATAATTGGGACCCTAAACTAAAATTATGGCTTCGACATTCCCTAGTTCTCAAAATTATCTTTCTTTCAACACAAAAATCATGAAAATCCGTAGAGTGGTTGATTCAGAATCGTGAAATAAAAAAACCCTGTTTCGTTTTAATATTATTGATACTCGTAAGATTAACATGTAAACTCGGAGCCCAAATGGAATTTTGATGTTTAAATATGTCTATATGTTAATCGGGAATGTTAGCTACCATCATGCACAATTTCAGCCCAATCCGACCAGTAGTGCGTGATCGAACTTCAAACAAACAAACACATTAACTTTCACATTTATAATATTATTATTAGTACTAGCAAAGATTACATATGCTACGCTGTAATCTTTGGTACTAGCATCAGAGCCCGTTGTGGTTAAATACAACGGTCTCTAGAAAAATAACAGTTATGAAATCCATGAACCACTTTACTCACACAAATACACAACTACACAACAATTGTGTATTTTTTAATGGTACAGATTAAGCACATATCTTTAGAAAGACACACATAACGTAAGGAACACACTTTAACCACAAATACAAATTGTGAACAACATGCAAGCAACGATAAATTAATGAAATAACAATACAACAATACAATATCAGCTGTTAAATTATCAACACATGTTTCATATGATGATTAGATGATGCATACTGGAAAACCCATTACAGCCATAAATCTTTAAAAAAATCAAACTTTCATAATCCTATACTCTAATATGAGCGACGTTTGCTTGTATATTTGCTTGCACGAAGATCTTGAAAACGGCTTCCGATTTTCTTCAAATGTTGTAAATAGTTTATTTCTGGCCTAAAAACGTGTTTATTGAAGTTACAACTGCCATCCAAAATCTAATTATTTCCAAATCTACAGTATATGAATGAAGCTTTCCATTGACCTATTATTTAATAAAATTTGTCAAATGGAACTATAGATTTAATTCTACAAAGTTTAACAAAAATATCTCTAATTCAGAATTTTAACAACTATAGATTTGGAGGTTGCTTAGCCTTTTAGCAAATAACTTTTAAATTGTAAGAAAATTGGCCAAAGTAGAAAGTGATATTCAGGAAGAGAATAAAATTTCCTACAAATTATTACTATGTACCTATTTCCTGAAAATACTCGATAAAGGCAGGCTAAAAAAGTTTGCTACAAATAGAAACTTGGAAATAGAAACTTAAATAAAACCGTTTTAATGTATTCTTGTTCTTTTTATTTTTCACTACAAATGTGAAAAAAATGAAATAATCAAATCAAATCATTATATAATCAAATTTTCATGATTTGCAAATCTACACGAATTAGGGTTTTTAACAACCCATTATACTCCGTTCAAACAGCCGTGGCACCTGAGGGATTAGGAGGCCCCAAGGGTTTCTATGGGTTCTCCTAATCCGTTAGGTGCCACGGCTGTTTGAACGGAGTATAATTGACAAAAAGGATCCAGTATAGAACTGTAGATTTATTTGTACAAAGTTTAAGTTTAACAAAATTATGTACCTATCTCAGTATTGTCTCCCCACTATAGATTCGGAGGTTACTTAGCTATTTTGCAAATAACTTTTAAATGTTGGGGAAATCGAGCAAAGTGGAAGGTGATATTCTGCAAGAGAGTATAATTTCCTACAAATTAGTCCTAAGCATGTCTTGAAAATATCCAAAATAGGCAGTCCTATAAGTTGCCTCCAAATACAAAAATGTGGAAAGAACAGTTTTTAATGTATTTCTTATGGGAAACATGTTTTATTTTTAATTTTCACCATAAATCATAACAAAAACGAACTTTCATAATTATTTGTAAATAAACATTAAATAAACATTCCAACCACCCATTAATTAATAAAATAGGTCCAGTAGAACTGTAGATTTATTTGCACAAAGCAAAGCTTTAACAACATCTCTAATTCAGTATTTTCTCAGGGATAGCGGATTTTTATCTCCCTGGAATTTTACCCCCTGGGCAAACGTGACGTCACAAACCAGGGGGTAAAATTCCGGCCGCGAACTTTTGAGTTTCGCGACATCAGATCGATGGATTTAACGCGGAATTAAACATATATTTTCACGGATGTGAATTTAAAAATTATAAAAAACCTAGAGTGTACGGCCCGGATTTTTACCCTCCGGATTTTTACCCCCGGATTTTTACCCTCGGATTTTTACCCCCTGGATTTTTACCCCCGGAATTTTACCCCCTGGACAGATATATAAATTAGTGAGAATGATTAATTATTTTTGTTTTAATTTAATAGTAAACATTTTATTATTAAGTAGCCTATATTAATTTATTTGTAACACTAATCGAACAGGTTTTTAATTTTAATTTTGAGATTCTAGTATTAGGATTCTAGTATGAGTCAACACAACAATTGGTCGGTCGAATACATTGTACCGGATGCCTACAACTACATTTCACATGTATTTCGACGACCTTTCTCATTACAAACCATAAATAGCACATGGTTTGTGCCTGAAGAAACAAGAAGGCATATTGTGTTGTTGTACAACAGAAACTAAATACATTGTTTTTCACGGTGGTACAATAAATTCGTTTAAGAAATGTACACCCAATTATCATTTAAATTAGCTACTCAGTTTATTTTACATACTTATTAACCAACAGTTCGCCCCAAAGGCAAATCCCGAACATCAAAATTAAACAGCGAATTCTGTTTACTTAGTTGAGATTAAAAAATAAATAAATAAAGATAGGCTACTAAATAATGGAATGTTTACAATTAATTAAAAACAGAAATAAGAAAATCAATCATTCAATTTCTAAAATCGGCCAAGGGGGAAAATTCCGGAGGGTAAAAATCCGGGGGTAAAAATCTGGCCCGTACATCTTCAGTTGTCTAAATGCTAGTTATATGGACAGGGGGTAAAATTCCGGTTTTTATCGCTAATCTAAATAACCACGCTCTGGCTATTTTCATTAGACTTCCAAATCCGCGGGGGTAAAACTCCGCCGCGAACAAACTTTTGGCCACTCAGGTTACTACGTCATAGGGACGTCAGCTTTGTCCAGGGGGTAAAATTCCAGGGGGATAAAATTCCGGCAACCCTTTTCTCACCACTATAAATTTGGACGTTGCTTAGCTTTTTTGTAAATAACTTTTAAATGGTGTGGAAATCAACCAAATTGGAAGGTGATTCCTCAGATTACTGAAAGAGAATAAAATTTCCTACAAAGTACTATCATGCATTTCTTGAAAATATTCAATAAATAAAGGCTGCCTTAAGTTGGCTACAAATAGAAACTTGTAAATAGAACTTTAATAAACAGTTTTTAATGTATTCTTGGTTTTTTTTTACCTCAAATATTTAATAAAACCCAACTTTCATAATTATTTGCAAATCTACACATATTAGGCTTTCCAGACGACCCTTTGGCCCTGTAGACTGTACACATGAGGGCGGCAGCCGCCGCAGTTACTATTGCGCGGGAACGGCGGCGTTTGAAAATACAAAGGAGCAAATGAGACTGTTCACATGCAACCGCCTACTTCCAATCAACCGCAACAAACCACGGCGGTCGTAGATTTCCCTACGACCGCCGTGGCTCCCGCGCGGTTGGAGTTACTAGAGTTGGCATGAGAGCGTACACATGAGGGCGGTAGCCGCCACAGTTGACTGCAGTTGCTACTAGGATCACGGACATCTGCGCGCTTCCCCTGTGGACATCGCTCTCTGTGTTGGTGAAGTGTGTAGCTGTGGCTGGAGTTGATGTAGTGCTTGTAGTGTAAGTTTACAATGACCATGGGTACTGCTGTGGAACCAGAAAACTTGTACACTGAACTGTTCATTGAAGAAGTACAAAAAAGAAGATACATTTGGGACATACAATGCAAGTAAAAAAGATTGCGTGGCAAGAGTTAGTTGAGTTTTTTACTGAAAAGAATTGTCAAGTGTAAGAAAAAATTGGGTAAATACAGTAGTGGCTGTCGAGTGACGGTCAATTCACACCGCAACCGCAGCGATAACCGCCGTGGCAGCCGCTGCCATGTGTAGGGTCCTAGGCGGCCGCCGCCAACCTTTGATCAACTAAATCAGTCCAGTAGAGGTCTAGATTGTACAAAGTTTAACAAAAATATCTCTCATTCACTTCTGACGGCTATAAATTTGGAATTGCTTGGCTTATTTGCCAATAACTTTTTAAAAGTGAATGTAATATTTTGAAAGAGAATAAAATTTCCTACAAATTACTACTAATGCATTTCTTGAAAATACTTATTAACGGCAGCCAAAAGTTGGCTACAAATTGAAACTTTAGAACAGAAACTTAAAAAAGCAGTTTTAAAGATTTTTAAAACTGAATTATATATAAGTAGATGATCTACGATAGTGTAGTGAGAACAGATAAAAATAGTCCACAAATGACATACCTTACAGCATCTGAAAATATGCAATAACCTTTTATTCAACTTCTATTACTCACTGTGCACAATATTTACTTTTTCTTGTGTGATTAAAATTTACTTGAGGGTGGTAGATTTAGATTACAAACATTTAGACTAAAAAGAGATGATATTCAAAATCAAATCTGTTTGAAGAATATCTTGAATATAGGTAGCGTATGGTAATTGATATGATAAAACACAACTTCAAAGATGCTTTCAAGAGGGGGTAGGGAAAATCAATATCAAAAATTGTATGTTAAGGAAAGCATATAATTACCAAAACATCTTTGCTTTTTCAAACACTTCGTTACTCTTAAAATGATTGTCTCCACCAGGAAGATAAGGAGAAGTGAATTCCCTGTAAGCTAAACACACTCTCCGTTCCTTGATGTCTTCCCTTAAAACCATGTGTTCCCAGCAATATCTGGCTTCTCCATACAACACTAGGAGAGACCTACGAGGCATAGGCACCCTTACAGTCACATTTATATCACTTTTCAAACAGTTCCTATACTCTACTGGGGCCAAGTCTAGGTTGTACCGCTTGGGATCACCTTGGTAAGGAACAAGAGTCAAAACAGAGTCTGATAAAAGATTCACAGTGATGATTCTTTCTCCCCAAATCCAGCAATCGTCGATATGAGGATCGATTGAAGCCCCATTTCTTGGATCATACTCCAACGAGCACTGTTCTATTGTTTGGTAGTCTTTTATAATATCAACTCCAGAGAACTTATCCTGTATAAATTTTGTTGTCACAGGAAATCCAGAAAAGCTACCAATCTGCAAATGCCGTTTCTTGAAATTGCATTTGGGTCCGAAATTCTGGAACATTGCACAAATGTAATCTTTAGTAATATTCAGTCCAGTACAAGTCACAACAGTTATCAGTAGTATTTCAGATTCACAATAAATCAATATCAATTGGATCATTAATTTTAGGTTAGTTTGGAGATAGCAAGACAAACAATATGTTTAGTTTAATTAATTATAAACATAAAGAATAGATCAAGAGATACATACACACTGCCGTACCTACAGTACTTTAAAGCAAAGAGTTTTGAATGATCGTATATAGCATGCTGGGTCCATAGAAACCTCTCCACTTTTATGGAGACCCAAACTCAACATAATTACAATACAAGGAAAAAGAATATTATCAAACCTGTAGCTCATAATTACAAATATTCGAGTCATCACCACAATACATTGGTCCAAAAATCTTAAATAACTTACCAACAAGTTTAATTACTCTAGAAAATCCCTATAAGTTTAGACTTTCTTTAAAAGAATGGCTCAAGACTAAATCTTTTTTTTTCATTGGCAAATTATTTTAAGGACTGCTGGAATTAGGTATAAATAAACCTTCCCACTCCTTCTAGCTCAATTTTTTGTCATGTAATGAGCCGTGCGAGTTGACGGCTCAGGTCTTCTATTACATGTATATTTTTTTAGGCGGAAGTGTCCGCTTGTTTCATTTGCAGGCCGTTGAGCTTCTAGAAGCTTCTCGAACTTTCCAACGTTCCTAGTTCTTTTGTCAATTTCCGGTTTCGTGGGGCCGTTTGGCTTGTCGGCTACTGTCAGTCTTCTTGGTTACGTCTACGACTCGCCACCTTTTCTCCATCTTGTGTTGAGTTTTTATAAATTGAAATACCATATTACTATGTTGTCTTTAAGTACTGTTCGGAGTTTTCAAAAAGGGGCGAGCAACTGAGAATGTCGTCGTAATTCGATTATGTTGGGTTAGTGATTTTCATCGTTAATTTTTTCTGTTGCTCCACACACACTGCCAGGATTACCACGTGTTACCACAATGTTAAAGTTTTTATTTTCAGTTGTGGTAAGTTTGTTCAAGTATATTTTTATTGTGAGTAATTACCTTGTTCTGAGTTAAGTAAACTTTTAGTGATTTATATAGGTCCTATGGATCTGGGACTTGGGACTGTACGGTCTCTCACCTAAATCGAACAAAGGTTCAGAAATGTAAACAAATTCATTGTAAGGCTAGGCCTATTCTTTGTCCAAGTGTAGTTTCTTTGTTCAAGTGTAATTTCTTCGTTTAAGTGTATTATCTTGTATATATAGGGTCATTTTTGTCGTAAAAGTCATTTTTTGTAACGACTGCAAGTGGTACTGTCTTATTTTAGTTCTCACAATGTAGGCTAGGGCTTCACCCTAACTAAGCCTTGTTACCAGTAAGACTGAATTTTGTTAAAAACTAGCCTAACTAGTAGGAGCTTTATATTTTTCAAGAGTCAAACTATGGCCTAAGCCTAGTACAGATTTTCAATCAAGGGTGTTACCTTTACCTGTAATTGATGTAGTACTGTGTTTTACAAGATATTATTGGATGTGAATAATGTTGAAAGGGCTCCCGGCCATGACCAACACCAGCCTGACCGGAGACCCGTGATGAGGCCAGATTAAGAGGGGACCGAGGACCACACACACACACACACACACATCCTGCTGACCATGTAAGAAGCTACCGCTGCCGGCGTTTGGACACCTGCCGGCGTTTAGACACCTGCCGGTGTTTGGACTGTTAACCTTACTGCCAATCCACGCCCCGCCACATCGCAGCTTCTCGCCTATGGGATCATACTGTGATCAGCCTACAGCTTATGTCAGGTGGTGTTGTTCCATTCATTAATTTTTTAGACTCAGTTACAAGTCAAAAAAAAAATTTCAACTCCATTTTTGCTACGTTCCGTTCTACTCGTCAAACTGTTAAATAGTGTGTGGGACATCCTCGGTCCAGCCTCAACCTTTTTTTAACACCAATCAATTAATTTTTTATGTGTCAGCAGTTTCTTTGTAATTTAAACTTAGTGTAATTATTTTTGTTACTCGGCCTAGCCTAGTTAGAATTTATTTCAGTTTTCTTGACTGGCCTAGTGGGCACAATTGGTTAATCTTTGTCTCTAAATTTTACTCATTCGGCCTTTCATTCTAAATTTGCCCCTAGTGCTTAAGTTAGGTTCTGATTTAAATTTACAAATATTTTAATTTAATTCTTGTCTTATTTGACTTTGTAGTTACCGTCTCATGACTTATTTCACGTTTGGTCGTTTATCGTTCAACTGTTTAAGGTGAACTATTCACCCATTTTGTAGGCCTAACCTTTTAATATCATTTTTGTCAGTGTACTTGAACTTATTAATTTTGTTACCAACAAATATTGAGTAGGCTATTTATAATGTTTTGTAATTGTACTTGTATATATATTTTGACTGAAATTAAATGGTATTTTGTTATTTCTGTGTTGTTTAATTACCTCCGGAGCTTTGTGGCTTCTTATGACTGTTGGGCAACCATGGGCCGAACCTGGTTAGGTTAGATTAAGGGTCTAGTGTGTTTCAGTAACAATGTTGTATTTTGGGAAGATTCAGTTGATTTTGTATAAATACAGATGTATTAGTTTTATCTATTAGTTTTAAGTCTTTATTTAACCATTGGCAATATTTCCTGTTATTATGATGTACTGACATGTAACTCAATAAATAAATAAATAAATAAATGTAAAAACCTAGTGATGACCATTAATGGCCTAACATCGCCTAGCACCTATGTTGGCCAAAACACTGGTGTGTACACCTGTAGCGTCAGCTGATGACGTTGTCATAGCAACGCATTAAGTTAGTCTGATCTTTGTTTTTCTACAGGAATGTACACACAATTTAACTCTTATTAAAATACTTTTCTATTACTTATTTGGTCATAATTTTATTCTATGTACACGAACAACCACGACCAAAATGGTGACCCCGAATACAACCGTTATCTAAAGACTTATTTTCTTTGAAGAGTTTAAATCTTTTGTGTTTCCTCCTTCGAACGATGTCATTAGAAGACCTGCAGACTCAACTCGCCGAACTTAGAACTGCGAATGAAGAACTGCGTCAACGGATTGGACAACCCAGCACTTCTCAAAACATGTCGGTGAACAGAGTAGCCGTCAAACTTCCACCCTTTTGGCCTGAAAGACCAAGTCTGTGGTTCTGTCAAGTTGACTCGCAATTTCTTATATCTGGAATTACCAACGACGACACCAAGTTTCACTACGTGGTCTCGCAATTGGACACAGGAATTGCTGCTGAAGTCGAAGACATCATAACAAACCCTCCTCAAGGCGACAAATACGGACATCTAAAAAAGAAACTGATTGAACGCCTCTCTGCATCCGAAGAGCAACGTGTGCGGCGGCTGCTGAGTGAAGAGGACCTTGGAGACCGCAAGCCTTCTCAGTTTTTGAGGCATCTTAGGTCTCTTGCGGGCTCGACTCCCCTTCAAGACAACATGCTTCGTCAACTGTGGCTCAGACGACTCTCTCCTCATTCACAAGCCATATTGACTACGCAACTTGAGCTCTCCTTGGACAAACTGGCAGAACTGGCTGATAAGATCATGGAGGTAGCTGACATTCCTTCAACACCTGGTATTTGTGAAGTCTCTTCAGGTAACACTTCTTTATTAAATGCAATAGAATCCCTCTCTAAACAAGTTCAAGCATTATCAGAAACCAGAGTACGAGATACACAGGTGAGACCTAGGGGTCGTTCCCAGTCTCGTGGTGGATCAGGAAACGAACCTAATCCCTCTAAGAACTGGTGCTGGTACCATAGAAAATTCAAAAACAATGCTACCAAATGTCTTTCTCCGTGCTCTTTTCAGGGAAACCTCAGCAACAATCCGTAGAGGCCGCAACGGATTGTTCAAATGCTGGCGGCCGTCTCTTTGTGATGGACAGAAATTCACGAACTAGGTTCCTTATCGACACCGGGTCTGATGTGTCGTGTTTTCCTAAACGCCTTATCAAATATAAACGTTTTCCTACTAGCTATTCACTAAGTGCTGCCAATAACAGTGAAATAAAGACTTATGGTACCATGCCTCTCACCCTTAATTTAGGCCTTAGACGTAATTTCCCTTGGAGTCTAGTGGTAGCGGATGTTTCAATACCTATATTAGGTTCAGACTTCCTTTCACACTATCACTTATTACCCGATTGCAAAATGAAATGTTTGGTTGACAAGAAAACGGGATTGAATGCCGAGGGAATAGTTTCTAACAACAATCAAACTAGTATTAAAGTTATATCTTTCTCTTCGCCATTGGCAGAAGTTTTTTTCTGAATTCCCTGATATTATTCGTCCTCCAGGCTTACCTCGTGCTGTGAAACATAAAACAGTTCATCATATAAATGTTACACCTGGTCCTCCTGTTCACTGTCGACCACGTCGCTTACATCCTCAAAAATTGAAAGCTGCCCGGAAAAAATTTGAGGAGATGGTTAAGCTTGGTATTGCTCGACCCTCTGAAAGCCCCTGGTCCTCACCTTTGCACATGGTGCCTAAAGGTGAAAATGGATGGCGTCCTTGCGGTGATTACCGCGCTTTAAATGCTCGTACTGTTCCTGACAGATACCCTGTACCACATATTCAGGATTTCTCGTTTAATTTAGCAGGCTGTACGCATTTCTCTGCCATTGATTTGACCAAGGCTTACCACCAAATTCCCGTCCACGAAGATGACATCCAAAAAACAGCAATCACCACTCCATTTGGCTTGTTTGAATTTCCATTCATGACTTTTGGCTTACGCAACGCGGGTCAAACATTTCAAAGATTCATAGATGAAGTTATTCACGGCCTTGATTTTTGTTATGCATATATTGACGACATTTTAGTATTTTCCCAGTCTGAAGAAATACATAAAGAACACCTAAGAATGTTGTTTGAACGACTTTCTGACTATGGAGTAGTTGTAAATCCATCTAAATGTGTAATTGGTGTACCAGAAGTTAAATTTTTAGGTTACTTAGT